CGCCTGCATGTACATCTACGTCAATATCTGTGTATATATATGTCTGTGTGCATGATTCCTTCATATATATACATATATATGTACGTATGTATATTTGGAGCTGTTGATGGCGCCTGACCTCTTCGATGTGGACAATACGGTGGGTACCGAGGATGGGGAAGTCCACTGGACACTCAAAAAGGACTCGTGTGCTGCGTTGAATATCAGTGCCTTCACAGATGGTTCCCTAAACAAACAGCAGCACAGCTCAAGCTTCTTTAGTTGCTGCTTTATCTCTCTGTTCTTGCGTTTCTGCTGCTGGAGATGAACATCATATCTTACGTTTGTCAGTTGCAGTGCCAAGACCTTGTTTGACGCAGGGACTGGATTCTTTGAAAACTGCTTCGGCCTCTCGACGATCTCCACAGGCAAAAACTTGAAACGGGGTGACCCGTTCATCTTGGGCGGCAGAGTGTCTGTACCCCTCAGAGTTGGGTTTGCTGGATTAGGACGCTTAAATATCATTTCTGCTGCATCTCCCGATGCATGCAGCGTGCCCAGAAGGTGCTTGGGGCCTGTGATGTCCCCTGAAGACAAACAAAACCAACAACAACACAACAAAAAAATACACAAACGAGACATGTATGCGCTGCTCTACCTCTCGTTCCCTCGGGCTGCATACACCAGTGACAGTCCAGTGAGCATACACCCTGTAAAAAGAATAACTCACCGTTTGGCTCCTTGTGGAACTCCACCAAACTATCGGGGTGGCAATACTCGTACGACCACCAGCCGTCTGTCGTGAAGGTAGAGCACCAGCCCTCTAGACTTCTTATTAGCGACTCTGTCAGAGGCTGCAGCACAACAACAAACGCATATCCTAGCGCTTTGAACCACACTAGATATTCCCTGAAAGTGAGACGAACACGACAAGCACCAGAACAAAAAGGAAATATATACCATATATATATATATATATATATATATATATATATATATATATATATATATATATATATATATATATATATATACCATAGCCGATTCAACTGGTGGCGTCGTGGCCCCAACATCGCCTCACCGGGTCCGGCGCATTCTCCCTATAATCACAGAACATTGGCGCCTCCAACCACACACGGTATTTTCCCCCGTGCGGCCCTGAAATGCCCTTTACTCGAGGATGCGTATCACCACAAACAAAACGAACTTCCGTCTGGCGTCCGTCTGTACCGCCCGTGTACCACTGAAACAAAACAAAAGGCAGAGCAACGGCGGAAAACAAATCAAAACCCGTAAACCCTCAACAATAAACCCGGACACCCTAAGCCCTAAACATAGGGGCGCAGTATACTGCCTGCTCGGGGGAGCTCCACGCTGTTGGACGCCGTAGCTGAAAACTACGACGAAAGGCGAGAAGACGGAAACTGAATCTGGCTGATATTGCGGTAATAGTAGGTAATTACTATCGCGTGCAATGATAAATTGTTACTGCATTAAAAAATAAATATTAAAGAGCAAAATATATTTTAACTTCAGTTTCTGCTTACTTGTGTCATCGTGCCGTCCGCCCACAGCTGATCCATCGAAGAGGCGTATGTGCCCAACTCAAATAAACTCTTTCCGATGGTCTTTCCTGACAAGGCGTTGCTTTTGAAAAGGGTAATCTTTCTCCTAAAATACAAATAATATTCACACGGACTCGACGTAGATACACGTATACCCAACAAAGTATCGATGGGAAGCATAAGAAAAACACGAGTTCCGCTCTTCACCATTTAACAAAACCTAACACCAGGAATGCGTGAGTAGAAGGAAAGCGAGGGAAGCAAGAGCAAAACAAATGATGAAGGAGAGCAGTTTGTACCCGATGCAGAGTTCATATCGCCAGTCTCTAACGCCAACATCAGAAAAACGGAAGCATCTGTCCAACAGCCACCGCAGCCTCGCAGCTCTTAAGTAGCTCTGAAGCTCTGGGCTTCCCACGTGAAGTTCTTTCGAGATCCGAGTGGGTAGAGTGCATTTCTCTGTTTCCTGTTCAGCAGAATCGGCTGCAAGTAATGCGTTTTCCGGATCTTCATCTGGCGAATTCGTCAGAAACTGCTGCAATCTATCCAACATCTGTAGTCCTGAGGATGATCGCTGAGGCAGCAAACAGGCAACGTTGCGGTCTGCAAGCGTCACGTGCACTATCTGTTGACGGGCGCATTTCGGGATTTCTATGGCCTCGAATTGGCGAGAAAAATCAATTTGCACAACGCTGTTTGGGTTGTCTGCAGCTTCAGGGCTCGTTGTTGCTGCTAGTGCTGCTGATGCGGGTGCTTCAGTTGCTGCTGATGCTGAAGCGAGATTCAAGAAACAGAGGCACAGCAGCAAGCTGCGGAATCCTTGCGAAAAAATAACTCCTCCCATTGTCGTAAGTTAAAAGCGGCACCTCCCGATTGCTTAGGCTCCCTTCTCTGAAATCCTCTTAACTACGCGCGCAGATCGCAGAAAAACGGGTTGCATATCAGGGGCCAGCAGCCGAGGCTACGGCCAGCGGGCTGAACAACATGCCGGTTGTTGATTGAAACAAGAAGATTCCACAGTCACACAGAGATCAATAGCCCCAGGAAGTGTTCCTGAGGGTTTTTTGTCCCGTCTATGCAGTACCATGAGGTTCGTTTGAGACGAAATACCGGCGGAGCCCCTTAGCGTAAGAGAAATGTGGAGAATTGGATTAAGTGAACCCCCAAGGCGCAATGGCGCGGGTGGACACAAGGGAGTATAACGTCGCTCGTTGTAATAATACACTAATAATATTACTCAGAGGATGTAACGGCGCATTTCGTTCAGGCGACGACTTTTCAGATCGCTGCTTGCATGCGGGGGGCCACTGCATGGAGCAGGGGAACACCGGGGCTAATTGAAACTTTTGATGTATTCTAAAGCCCTTGAAGGGCCAAATGTTGCAGAATTTCCTGAAAAACTCTGAGAAATGCCATGGTTAGTTTATTTGTTCTAATATTTAGCTTCACTTTCGCAGTTTACCGCTGCAGACGAACAGCAGAAACCGCCAGACCAGCGGCTTCTGCACGGCTCAAGTCATTGCATGCGGAAGGGAAATCGGTTCTATTGAGCCTATGTGTCTTTTTTAAAAATATTAGCGGAGTTTTAATACAAATTTTAACTTCATTCGTTGAAACGTTCCCGTCAAAGGAGGGATCCTATGTGTGTACATGAGCCTTGTGTGCGTCATCTCACTCCAGGCAGCTGAAAGGGCGGACTCGGATCTACGGGAATTCCTTGAATGAAGCATACCCGCCTTCCCTTTTAAACACTCTAAAATTTTAACTTGTCAATGAAGTGTAACTACCGGCCGACGGAGCAGAACACCCCCCCTGCATATTCTTCTCGCCGGTCGCCCTCCAGTAGCTGACTCAGCAACCCAGATCTCAATTTCTGCCTTATCACCTTATTTCGGACCTTTGGCTTAAGAGGCTTCAAGAAAGGAAGGTGTCCTTTGTCAGTTGAAGGGGACTCGCAAACTGGCCGACATCACGGGCCCAGCCGCTAGGCAAGACAGCGAGGAGCTGCAAGCAACAGCCGCAGATGACGTTATGCTCATTGAGCAGGTCGTGCATCTCCTAGTTACGGGAGCATTAAGGTGGAAGTAAAAACAACAGCAGTCCTACCCGAAGGAGCATTCGCACAGTAGGAAACGCAACAGCAGCGGCAGTAGTCAGGGCGCGGCTCCAGGCACACAATCCATGGACCTGCTCAACCCAGGATGACCAACTCCTACAAGAGTTCACCCCGCCGTGGGGGTTCGAGCAGCTTTGCTAGCCTCACGAGCAGCAGCTACTCCTTGAGTCTCAGCGGTAGTGGCAGCAGCAGCAACAGTAGCATTAGCAGTAGCAGCAGCAGCTCCGCGTCTTCCGCTCCAGCTTCTGCTGATGGGGCTCTGAGGCCCGGTGATACGGTGGCTGCGGAGAGGAAGCCATTTGTACCTCCTAAGATCCTCCGTGCCAAAAACATTCCTCCTCTCAAGAAGCAGTTGCCCAGGCGCGCTCCGCCTCCCAGTGTTAGTATTGCTGCTGGTGGTGCTGCAGGGCCGAACGCAGTTCCTCCCCCCTCTAGGAAGGAACAGTTGGCAGCGCTACAGTCACAGCTGCTGATGTCTCGGGCCGCGATAGGACAGAGGTGGAAGGAGGCGTGGAGGAGCGCGGAGTCCTCAGCCTTTTCCTATGATTCTGACATAGATGACTTGGAGGAGTTTGATTCATCATCTGACAGCTCACGGGCTGCAACCCCTGCATCAAGAAAAAAGGAGGCGTCAGATAAGGACGCTAGGGATAACGGAAACTCCGTGGGCTCCTCCTTGACCGCCAGCGCTGCGAGGAAGGATCTGCTGCAGCTGCTGGAGCGGGAGATGTCCAGTAGCAGCTCTGATCTTCAGGATGACGGCAGCCAGATTCTGAATCTGACTGCATCTGACTTTATCGATGACCTTAAGGCTGATTTAGCCCCCCATGAAGGCGAGGAAGTCCGGCCGGCCACTCCTGTTGAAGAAACCATTATCTCCAGACCCCTTAGAAAGCTGAAGTTGCATCTTTTCCACGAGGGTCACCCTGGTAGCTCCTCCTCCTCTGATGGCTCTTCGGAAGGGTCCGCCTCTTCTATTCGCTGGCGGCAACTACCCTCTAGAGAAACATCAGTCCCAGGTGAGCTCGATGGGGACCTGCAGGACTCAGAAGACGAGGCGAAGGAGGAGGAAGAAGAGGAAGCGGATGAGCAAGAAGGGGATGAAGATGAAAAGGAGTCGAGCGCAAGCCAGTCGCAAGAGGGAGAGGGATCAGAAGAGAACTACGGAGAAAGCGACGTAGACAGGGACGGAGAGGCAAAAGAAGAGAGACGAGATGAGGAAAATGCTGTGGCAGAGTTGTCTGAGGCCGCAGAAGGTGAACCCCAGATGATTTGGCAGTTTGACGAACCAGATGAAGGCAAACCGTCGCCTCCAGAACCCAAAAAGACAATCGTCGTCAGGCGGCCGTTGAAAGCTGCCGATATGGATGTTGAGGAGAGGCTGGAGGTCGACGCCTGCCAAGAGGACTTCGACCGACGAGAGGTGAGGCTAGAGCTGGGCTTGCTGTTGATGTCTGCTGCTGCTAATGCTGCTAACTATCCTGGCTCCTCTGTGATTTTCAGCAGCGCAAGTTCCTTGAGACTCTGTGTGCCGACCTCAGCCTTCCCCCCCTTCTCATGGGGGGTATGCGAAGGAAATAATGCATGGATTTGTGTTCATGAACCTACATATTTTTGTGTTACCATCATATATATGGCCTACGTAGTTGTTTGTTCTTGCCCTTCATTGTCCTTTTTGCGACGTGTTCATGCGTCTATCTACACGTATGTGCCGTGTTAAGTTGCTCAAGCTGAGACCCAGTTTTGTTGGGTTTTCGTTTGTGCTGGGGTCTGGAACACCGTGTGTAGATGGCAGATCGCATTGTTTACGAGTATACGGACGACCCGCTGACTCCCCAAATGGAAAAACTTAGGGCAGAACGCGTCAAGCTTGCTGAGTGGGCGAGGAAGCTGCGGGCCGGCGGCAGGACGCAAGCTGAGGGCGAGAGGCCTGCGGTGAGGAAATCCCTATACGTATAATAATAAATGGAGTCTTATCGCCTGCAAATGTTAAAACCACGCCAGCAGCAGCAGCCCCCCGGTTGGCTTTTGTTGCATGCAAGTAACGCGGGTCCACGAGATGTTGCTCAGCTGTGCTGGATACTTGGGGGAGTTCGTAGGTAGTGGAAGCTGACGGCAGAGAAGCAGTCTGTTGCTGGGGTTCCGTGCAAACATGCGTTTATTCGGTACGGATGAGTGGTTGGATGCGCAGGGGTACAGACCTCCTCTGGTGCGGCCACCAGTGCTGCTAGGGGTAGGGAGGACCTTCCCCCAGACGGAAGTGGAGAGGCCACTGACGAAGGATCTGTCGCCGCGGGGAGAGGGCATTGAGGAGCGGCTGCTGCAGCGGGCTCTCTTGCCCAGCACGAAGGTGTGGCAGATGGAACAGCGGACGAAGCGTCTGCAGCAGCAGACCGTGCAACAGCGACAACAACTTGAGCTGCTGCAGGCAGCACTTCGAAAGAAAATCGAGGCTGACACAAACACAGCAGCTTCTTCTGCTAATGGCGAGTCCTTTG